GTCTGGATGTCACGGAAGGATTCGAAGTGACCGGGAGGGTGCACGAGAAAGAATGAAGGAATTATGCATTGTCGGAAGAGATGTGAACGAGGATAAATGGCATTGTTTGGAGGAAGGTGCTCGCCTGTGCCTTATGAGGTGGATGGTGGACTGGGATCCAATTGGCAGGACGGGAGGGAGCGACGAGCAGCCGAACGGGGAGGAGCGGGCTACCTGGTACGTACCGGGTTTATCCCGTCGGCGCAATCAGCAGGAAGGGGAACCCATGGATAAGGTAGGTACTGACTGCGAAGGAAAGAGCTCCCTCCTAGACAAATGGAAGTTTCCGTTGAATTACGGATTAATGGGCAGGCGAGACCTGAGATATTGAATCAGATTGGAAAGAACCCAAGGAAAGTGCACAGTGAGAAGGAGCAGGGCAGGAAGAGAGGCATCGCCAGTCGGAAGGAGCACCTCACTTTTCAAACCCTTGGAAGGCCAATATCGGGCTGCGGTACGTACCTCCGTGTGGCCGGTGGTGTCCGGCGGCCAATTGAGGCCGGAGCTCTGTGATTGACCAGCGCAAGAAGGAATACTGGGTCGTGAAGCCTTTCTCAATCGCGCACTGTACCGAACCCCGGCCTGTCAGGTTGAAACACCGTGCCAACTGTGGGGTTCGGCCGACTGAGAAGAAGGATATTAGAGGCAACAGGTGTCTTCTCCGTTCCTTGTTCGGTGCCGATGTAAGGCAAAGTGCCTAACCTCCGTAAGGTACGGAGTCCTCATGACTTGGCTCCGTCTAAACATCAAATAGAGCGCACTTTATTGCGTTGCTGCCGAACCAGCTCAGGGACAGGGCATGTTGCTTAGCTGTTCCTGACAAGGCGACACACTGGACAACCAGGTGCGATATGGGCAAAGAAGCCGACGGGACATCCTTCTAGGGCGGAGAGGTCCAAGCCATGGCCAGGATCACCTCACTGACAGCTGTCAGATGAGCCACTCTCGGGGCAGAGTCACCCTGGGCTGCTGCAAAGAAAGAGACGACGTGACATGTGCTCGGCCATAGAGGAAGACTCAGACGAGCTCGATGTCGCGATAGACGCCCCATCTCTCGACGAGAAGAATTCCGATTCAAGAGAGAGATGTTTGCAAATGTTCCCTAGCCTGCCCCGTGTCCCCATCCATTAAAGCCCCGTGTGGAGGCGGCCGGAGTTGGCCGAGCAAGGGCAAAGGGAAGAATCAGCCTTCATGTGCGTGATGGATGGCCGTTGCCCCCGGATCATCAGGAACCTGCTGAGAAAGGGAGAGAGAACGAATCTTGCCCAACCTCGATTATCGTCAAAGCATTGTCTCAGAAGCTTCCATTCATGCCATGATGCCTGCTTCGACAGCTTCTTCCGCCGCGCACAGACGCCGAGTGGGGCCCGTGGACTTCCGGACCGGGCTCGGTACAGGGATTCCGGGCACTCAGGGGCCGGGGTCCAGGGGCATGACCAGGGCCAGGTCCAAGAGGAAGAGGTCGCGGCCATGGATCATGGATGTTGCTAAGTCAGGGTGGCAGCCACATCAGCAGGACCCGACACCGAGTGCTAAATGCTGTGCTGTGCTATGCTAGGTAAGCTGCTAATTCCTCTCCAGGGGTAATGAAAATGAGTGGATGAGACGCGCTCATCGTCGATACCAGTGACCTTGCTCAATGATGGGCGGTGGATGCACCGGCTCTTCAGTGGGGGGGCAAGGGGTAAATAGTAACACCATTAAGACAGTGGATGATGCTCGGGCTCCTCTATCAAAGCACCTGCATCGGACAGGGTCTTTCTTTGTCGATTGTGGCCCTTGAAGAGACGATGAGAAACGTCTGTGTCTGCAAATCTTGACCAAGTCCAGATAGGTCGATGGCAGTGTCTGAAGTGCTTGGACGCGATTATCCTTGATGACCCCTACTTGATGGAGGTTTTCTTACTCGAAAAGGACACCAAGTGGGATGTGGGCGAGCGCAAGGGATCCTCATCGGGTGCATGTGCCAGACGGGTAAGGTGCGTTGCCTCTCGTGGATGAGATGGACGATGTCTGAATGCAATCTGCAGGCCAAGCTGTCAAACGTACCTGCATCTTCCGACCTCATCATCATTTTGGGGTTGAGGCCGTCTACCTTAAGATAGGAAACACCTCCGTCAGATGAGGTCACCTTGATAAAACAAGGCGAAACTTACTACTACCTCGAAGAAGGAGCTATCTCCTCGAGCACCTTCGCAGGTAAGGTAACCAAAAGAAACATCAAATAGTGGAGGTATATCCCCTTGCAAAAACAGAGTCGCAATACTTTTCAGTTACATGAAAATAGAGCAAGAGCAGCAAGATCACTCCTTGCCAACCTCCCTCCACAGCGCCTTAGGTAAGGCAGGAAGGCAGGTTAAGGTGGGAAGTAAGGCGCGAGGCAGGTACGAAGTACCTCTTTCCCTCTTCGTCGTGCACGGGTCAGGTACCCTCTACATCCGCACCTGCACCTCCAGCCCAATTTGACCTCAATCAAGTACTGCGGTACCCGTCCAAGCAAGGAAGGTGAAAAGTACGTACCTCTCGAGTAGAAGTGGAAAGCGCACTCAGCATAGCACTCGCCGTGATCCATCGAAATGCCCCTTCCTTGACGGGAGGTACCCACGTCGGGTCCTGCCATGGACATCTCTCTTGTTGTTGTCCAAGGCAAGACCAGGCCAGACCATCTGCACGGCAGGGGGTGGTACCTTCAGTCCGTACCTGCCTCAGGACCTCCGGCTGGGACCTACCATACCTAGACGGGAGTACACACCTCACCCACCGCGCTGATCAATACCGCAGAGCAGAATTCATCTCGAGTTGTTCTCGTCGTCTCTTCTCCGAGCCGTCGCTTCTGTCACTTTTCTGCCCAGTGACGACCAAGTCATCCTAGAGACATCATCAACAAAATATTTCCTTCCGAGGGTCCACAACCACACGTGTGGTCTTACTCTGTCAACGACGCCTTCTCTTGTCTCTCGGCTACTCATCACGAACGTCTACTTACTCTGCCATTGGAGTTCCGCTTAACGACATCCACCGCAGAGTAGAGCCCATCAACAACCTCACTCGTCTGTTCCACCACTCGTCTCTGGCTACGTGCCATCCAAGAGTCAAGAGACGAGGTCCCCAAGAAGCCAAACAGCTCACGCCAGGCTGCCCTGTCCAATATTTCCTCTCGGTTGCATTCCTTGCCTCACATAACCTTACACGAGGCCCACCGTCACGGTCAACCTCGACCGGCCATCGACTGCGAGGCCCTCTTCTGCTGCTCCCAAAGGTTACTACTCGACTGGCCTGTCTCCTCGTCCATCTCCGTACCTTATGCGACATCGACTTGCTGGACGGGTGTCAGTATCGAAAGAAGGATTCTCCTCTCGTAGGCCTTCGACCAAATCAGCCTCACCCATCATCATCACATCAGGCCAGTGACGGAGGCAACCGTCAAGTCCAGAGAGTGCGCCAAATCCACAGTCGAGACCTCTGCTCCAACGCCTTATGCCCTACCTGCTGGAATTGTGAGTCCGCATCACTGCGACCGCGTACACGCCATCCCACCGCTACTGCAGGGTGCTCCAAACTTGGCTTCATTGACCGCCCCCAAGTCGTCGCTTGACAGGTCGCCTCCTACCGAAGACTGCCACCGACCAGGGGAGACGACGACAGCGCCAAGGAGATTCACCTTGCAGCACAGACCAGAGCAACACAAGGATTCTTGCTCTCCTCTACCCCATCGACAAGGGCCTGCTCTCCGGCTGGTATTTGACATCTCGCACCCTGATATAAGGTACCACCCTGCCTTATTCGACCGTCGACTGCTCTGCTCCGACACCCCGTACCCGCCTTGTCTTCGCCATCTACAGAGATTGAACTTTCTCTTATTGGGATAGACCCTCCGGCATCTGTGCATGGGATCCGACTCCCTCTACGCATCGTCATCTTCGTCAAATCGCGGTTGAACTCCCGACCATCTGAACCCCCTCCACCCTGCTACCAAGGTCTCCGCTCAGCAAACCACCTTCGCTCTTTGCTGCCCAGGCCACAAGCACAACCACACCCCCTCAGCATTGCCCGACCCTTCTTTTCTTAGCTGCTCTCTTGGACGGTTTCCACGCCTTCTCCTGTCCCGCTGGCTCCATTATCTACACGCCCTTTCATGCGAACCCCTGAAGAACCTTTGCTTCGAAGAACTCCACGCAGGTTCGGATGCCAACCATAGCTCGAGCATTGCAACGCCACCTTATATCACCTCGTTTGTAGCCATTTGCAGGTCAGCTTCAGCTCAAGTCTCGACTGTCACTACTTAGGCTGCCACCACCAAGAGCCCGTCTTACAACACCAACCACACCACCATAGCGCCTCCAACTCTGCCACTTCAGGTTTAGAGCTAGTGTACCTGGCCCAAAAGCTAATCGCCATCTGAATCCTCGTTGTCGTTGCGCGACAAGGTTTCGACCAGCAAAATACCGAAGCCTTCTCCTCCCGTCATCCCAGCGCAATTCTTTCTGTCTACATCGAGTATCATCCCAGCCGAGCTTTCGACCGATATCACATCCTCTATCAGCTTGGACTGTTTCGGTATTTGCCGCCATTGAACTGGGAAGTTCTTGGGTAGCCTCACTTTATCCGAAGTTCAACTCGCTGGATTAACCGCAACCTGGACGAGTCGAACTTCAGGTGCTGACGACAAACTACAACATTACGGTCACGCCTTGAAACAGTCTCGTTCTGTCCGCCTGCTTTATACGTCACTGTAGGAGCTCGTGTCTTTCATCGTGTGGTAGATACAGCCGTCTGACTGTGCAAGGTTCCCGGTGCGCTTGGGTACTCAGACTACAGAGGACATCTACCTACGCCAGTTACCTCCTTCTACCTTTGGTTCGACGTCTGTACCCAGACAGAGCGCACTCTGGTTCTCCCTTTTCAAACCATACTTCGTCTACGATCCGGAAATCACAATCTCGAGCCAAGGATTTACCAAAATGTCCTATCCACAAAACTACATGAACCTCAACCAGCAGTTGAGTCGGGAACCTTTCCCTCTCAGAAGCGAAGTTTTCCCTCTCAAAGGCATGGGCATGCAAACGTACGTACTTCAAAACCTGCACCGGCCGAACCAGACGCCCAAGGAACTAACAACCATGGACAGCGAGAAGATGCAAACAGCACCACAACCACTACCCCCTAACCTTTCTTTGAAGTTCGTGCAAGCGCCCAAACATGGCAAAGTAGCCGCCATCACCAAGGAGAAGGGTACGTGGAGGTCCTACATTCGTCACAAGTTGTCTAACAATTTTCACAGATCGCAAACCCCTTGACCCCCCACCCGTTGTCGAGATTGTCGTCAACCGGGCCAACTGGGACCGCGCGACCTTTGGCAATCCTGAAATCGTCTTGTGCAACCCATACTACTTTGTTGTTGCAACATTGGAAAGCTACGATACGAACGGCCGCAACCCCCCGGAGGATTGCAGCCGAGAGCTGCTTGGCGTAAAAACGACCTCGATGTTCAGAGTTCAGCTCAAAAACGACGTTTGCGAAGGAGGCTACTTCGTATTCTCAGACCTCTCCGTCAAGAAAGAGGGGGACTACAAACTGATTCTCACTCTTTACGAGAAGCTTTACAACGACACGGTGATGGAGTGCGCGTCGGTGACGTCGACACCATTCAAAGTGCATTGCCAGAGAACATTTCCGGGAATGGCTCGAAGCACTGAATTGACGAAAGAACTCTCCGACAAGGGTCTTCGCGTGCGGATCAGAAAGGACTCCCGTGTGGTGGCTCAGCGCAAGCATCTCATAAATCATGCGATAGCTTCGGATCGCAAGCGAAGTCGCAGAGAGGAGGAGGAGAAAGACGATGTGAACGAGCCCAACAAGCGAGCTCGTCCCGGTCTTCCACTTCCACTTCCCAGCATGCCAATGAGGCAGACGGTACAGGCGGTGCAGAACATGGGCCTACACTCGCCGCCGCAGCCACACCAAAGCGGCAACTACAGCTATGAAAGTATGGCCATGAACAACGGGCTGGCTCATGGCTATCCAGCTGTGCAGCACGGCTATGCGGTTCCGAGCAACTATCCTCTTACGCCTACGTCGACTGGCATTCCAGGGAACAACAACATGGCGTCTTACGAGCCAGCATACCACGTGGATCAGCAGTGGGGGGACGAAAAGAACGGGATGCTGGATACTTCGCTGCTTGGCGGAGGTCTACATGATGCCTAGGAGCAGATTGGAGCGTATTTCCTTCTTTTCTGAAAGCCATGGCCGCAAGGCATAGGGACTGGGGCAGACTGGCGTTTAAGGTTCGTCTTTGGAGATACCCTCGGGCTCAGGCAAGGAAGGTAAGGTGACAGAATGGGGGTCAAGATAAAAAACATGGAATAAGTGTTCTGTTATTAAAAGTAGTAGCGTGGTAGCAGATTATTGGCGTGAGCGATTCTCGTTCTATTTGTTTTGTATATCAGTGAGGCCTGCAGGAGTGACAGTCATGAAAGTAGCAGAAACGACATCACAGACAGAGCGTCGAATGACGAAAACGAGATGTACTGAGAATTCAACAATCGCATTCCCTCAGAGGCAGCTTCTAGCATCAGAACTAGCAAAACATTGTGCAGACGGAGTTGAGGATGGTGGACAAGATGTTGATAGCCTCGAAACACCGCACTCTTGAAATCAAGACAAGGTGGAAATGGAAAGCCACCAAGCACCACGCCGCACGACACTGAGATGGAGGTTCAGGGCAGAGTTTGCGACCGGTGGGATGTCTCACAGTACCTAAGGTAAGGTGTGGCTTGGACGCCCAAGAACGGCTGGACCGAAGTTTGCGGCATTTTGGATGTGTAGTTCCTGGGGTGCATTAGAGAAAAGCAAAAGGTTTGGTAGCTTTGATTCCTTCTCGGAGAAGACCCAGGAACACGGCACGCCAAGCCAGGTTCGTTACTTGATAAGATATCGCGATTCATGAGCTATAGTTTGGGGACGATTCGGTGTTAGTTAAATTGGGGGAAGACTCGAGTCATTTTTTGATTTGTTTTAAGGCTGAGTTGTCGGAGTGGACGGAGCTTAACAAAGTAAGGTAGGATTCTCTTATTCAATAGCCGGCCGGTCACCGTTCTGGACTTCGGTGGGCTTTGGGCGAGGAGGTTCGAGCGGTCTGATGGAGTCAGTCGGATCCTCTGATGATGCTGGTGATGGCGGGTCTCCGTCGGATTCAATTAATCTGAGGCAATGACAGGCAGCGGTGACCTTGCGAGCCGGCAGAAAAGGGCCGCTTATGATCGTCCCAGGAGGGAAGGACCGGAGGAGGGGAGGAGGGGGACGGAGGTGCCTGCCTGCCGCCAGAGCGGTGGGCACCTAGCACCCACAGGAAGGGCAGTCGCAGCTGCACTGTGTGGTGTGCCTGCCTTATCCGTCCGTACCTTACCACCTTACCTGTCTTACCCACTCATTTTCTACCCCTCCATCTCAAAAGTTTCTCTTTTCTCCTGCAACACAGATTCCCGTCTGGCCCTCCGTCGAAACATGACAACATCAACAATTTTTCTTTACCCCTCATCTTCAGGTTCCATCAAGCATCGTTCGAGATACTTTCGAATTGCTCAGCCACAGTCCTGCAAGCAATCTGTCTGAGCATTTGTCAACCTCTCCGGCCCGGAAGGCGCAGCGCCACCCTGGCCAGCTGTCCGCGGCGATCAATCTTTCCCCTGCGACTTGGTCTCTGCCAGAAGACCATGATGCGCATGAACTCAATCCGCTCACTCAGTGCTTACAGATCTAATCTTTCTACTCCGGGTGTTCGTCCCTCGTCCATGCCGGTCTCGATGCCATTCCATCTCTGACCACCTGTTCGTCCACAACCCGCATCGTTCGGCCGGCTGGACCTTGGTCGACGATGACGTGGATGACCCCTCGTTGCATGGACCATACGCCAGTGATCCGGGTGATCACACACAGAGAAGCATCTGATACGACTTGACCGCAAGTACCGCGCACTCCAGACGTCGCCGGCGAGAGACATTGGTGGTCTCGCAGGGCTGTTGGACTCGAGCGGCATTGTCGATCCTGCCGCTCCGCACCGGCCGACTGGCGTTCCGGGAGCCGAAATCTGATGAGCGTCTCAGGGTTCAGAGATCGGCTCGTCTTCGACGCAATTCTCCGACCGAACGCTGCTAAGCCGGAGATCAGTGATGAGACGGCGTGAGGCTCAAGTCAGACGTCGTCGAGCCTGTCAGGATCTCGGGCTTGGTGAGCTCCCAACGAGGTTGGGCAGAGAAACCCAAGTGCTTCTCCCGCCCCGCGCATGCACTCGAAGTCCTCCGGATACAGCAACGGGTTAGGACCGCTGCAGCAAACCTGCATATTTTTGCCAGCACCAACAAACATCGACCTCGAGGTGACCATTTCTGCTGCGTGCCTTCTCTGACAGAACAATATCTGGGGACAATTGCCGCTGTCAAGATCTAGGCTCAAGCGGCTCAGATCCAACTTCAGACGTTGCCGGCGATGATTCCCTACAACACCACTGAGTTGCCTCTTCTGGGTGCCCTCCACGGACGTATCGCCACATTTGACCAGCAGCCGTTTGATGCACGCAGCCATGATCGGGGCTTTGCGATGCCGCCTTTGACATCGAGGGTGCGCACCTAAGCGGCAGGATGAATGCGTCCCGGATGCCGGATGGACGCATGCATGCCACCGACCAGGGCAACACACCTTACCCTCCATCCAAATCATGCCGTCCGATCTCTGCCGTCCCGTCATCAACTGTCACCATCGTCCGAAAAACTTGCAGATTCGGCATCTGCCAACTTCCGATGGCGGTTGAAACGCACGGAGCAGCCGCTCTGGCGGGTCGGTCTGACAGCTTATTCATGCTCCGTGTCTCGAACGTCCGGGCCGCCATCACCTCAGCCTTTTCGCGGGATAAAGATGGGCCCCGGGCACTCCACACCGCCGAAACGTTAAGAAATATGCCATATGGCAGGCTGAGGTGCCTGCAGTTGTTTTTTTTCGCAAGCTCTAGCCTCGTCTATTGGTGTTAACCCTGTTGCTTCGCGATGCAATCTCTCTTCACCGGGACGAACATCACGCAAGCAGAGTTTCCTTTGCTCGTCTTGAGAATATCCTTGCCAATACTGCTTGAACCATTGGCAACAACGTGCTCACCAACCTGACAGGCCCGCTTACGATTTGGACCCCAGACACGCCCCAGGCACAGGCGAGATCTCCTTGAACTTTCTTTTCTTTTTCCTCCCTCTTCGGCTACCACATCACGCTACGAGATCTCGGCTGCCTGCGAGTATCTCTGGGTGATCGCCATTCGCCATATTCCGACGCTGCAAAGACATGGGTCTTTTCTTCCTGGCGAGCTGCACCACGGCTGTCACCCGCAAGTATGTCACTGATGTACTGGTACAACCACCTTTTACACCCGTTGTATACGGTACATGTCGACTTGCGTGCTGAACTTTGACGACTTTCGCACGCTAACTCTACGCCTCTCCAGATAAGCATAAGCTACTCTTGCAGCCCAGACGCCACACTCGCGGCAGGCAGACCCCAGCCGCCCTCTGGGAGCTTTGCCCTGGCGCCCTAATGTTAGTTTCCGTATTGTCTCCAAGATACCTCGACCCAAGGATACGGCCACGACTAAACTGTTCCCTTGCAGCTGGATTGCTGCCAGTCTGTGAGAAAAGCCCAACCGACAGCTACAATACATCAACTCAATTCGCGAATGGGCGAGCCAAGGGCACAGACACCGACTTTCTAGGCATCAGAAGTGCTCTGCAAAAACGCGGATCACGACCTGCGTATCCCAGGGAATGTGACAGAATAGACTGATATTCAACAGACCTTTCCGCATTAGTGGCTATACTCACCGCAATTATGCTCGCTCTTTTTCTTATTCCCAGCATCATCAAGCCGGTCTTGGTTGCATCATGAGTTCTTTGCCGTTCCGTGCCCGCGGTGGGCCTTTGGCGTCTTCTCCTCCCCGCTCGCCCGTCTTCCCATTTACCCCAACGTCGAGTTAGGCTGGCGCGCAGCTCATCATCGTCATGGGTGTGCGGGGCCGCCGGAATCGCGACTCCGAGGCTTGAAACATTTCATCAGGAGGACCGATTGAAACGGGACGTCGGATGTCTTTGATCTGTTTCCTCAAGGCAGCGACAATATCAGATCGGCAAATGTTCGGTCCATCTAGAATAAATTGCTTCCTCGGACTGGAAATATTGCCTGACAAGAGGTTCTGGAATGAACCGACAGAGCCGCCGTTCATTTCGGTGACATTCGTAGCGCCGACCCAATCGCTGACAAGAATCGCGTGGAACGGCGTTGAAGCCTCATCTCCGTGCCTGAGTGCCCATAGTACTCCGTGGGTTCACCCGCCAGCGACCCAATGTTGAGCGCATGTCATCCCTCGAATCCCTCCGGAACCGCCAGCCGTTGGCGTCTCCGCATCGTCTGCATCGTGCCCTGCGTTCTAGACCAGACAAGGCCCACAATCCCATCAACTACCTACGCCTGAGGTCATTGGCAGGTGCGCGCTCTCACTGAGACTGAGGATTCCCGGAAACAAGTCTATCAAAGCCGGTCGGGACATCAGACCTTCCGTCCCCCAACCCGTTGCTTACATGCGACGATGTCATGCCTGAGGGCTCGAGCCTTCCGGTTGATTGCGAACTCCAGATGATGTGACGGGGGTGGCTCAAACCCCCCGTGAGATAATGCCTTGGTTATCCAGCTATCACCAACGACCGCTTCGTGACACTTTGATACTTCTTAAAACGGTTCTGATATCGCTGTCAAATTGCCACCGGCAAGGCCCAAGTGGTTGACAATCCGCCGCCGACCGTCTCGCAAAGCGCCTTGACGGCCCCCGCACGTGGGTAATGCCAGCCAGATCTTAGCACGCACGTTGAAAACCCGACTAGCTTGCTACTCTCACCGTTGGCCAGCCTCGCTGTTGGTCCAAAGAACGCGCCGTCGCCATCTCGCAATTGCAGATCGGTGCGGGCGGACTGGGTTGTTTGAGGGTGGTGATCGTCCAGTCCTCCCTTCTTTGCCGTTCGTCCGGATCGTCTCTTCGTCTGGGGCGTGGCTGGGCTGGCTGGCTGGTGGGACAGTGACAGACAGATATGCGCACGCGCGACTTGGCTTGGGACAGGGGGGTCTGGGTCTGGTCGGCACGGTGCCGGTTCTTTTTATTTGGTTCGCGTCGCGTTGGCGCGTGCTGGATTCGGTTGGCGGTGAGATTGGGGCGCGCGTTTTGAGGTGGGATGTTTGGGAGTGTTTTGTTGACTTGACTTGAGGTTTAGTTTTTGACATTCATAAGTCTGTTTCACAGGCTTGCTAGACTTGTTGATATCCCTGAAGATAGCCTCGTGAATATGAAGTCGTTTCAACTTCATATCGCACGTTGTCACTGTGGTGCTTCCAGAACCAAGTCATCACACCGGCTAAACACCTCTCTGACAGCGCTAGAAGAGTTCCGCAGGGCAAGAATTCCGACTGGCAGCTTCGTGGTTTATATCTTGGGCGAAGTGAACTCCATTAGTGGGAATATCGCGAGATTACATAGAATCGTACTAGAACAAACTGTTGTTATTTATAAGTATCGATAGCGAATTCAGCACGCAATATAATTGTAACCCTTCTGGTTTTCTATTGGGATATCTTATTATAGAAATATATTCTACTGATATTAAACGATATAGTAGGATGGAGAAGAGGGTTGCTTTCATACCAATCTTATATGATTTTATAGGTAGATATAGAAAATCTTTCTCACTTTGCTTACAGAAAACGCGGGCTTAGATACTAGATAGTAAGATGAATTAACTCTTTTCTTCTTCTATGTCTTACTCTGGGAAGTAATGTTGGAAACCATTCAAATCAGTAGTCAGTAAGATAAAGTATAGTAGGGTAAGATATCTCGAGTTTAAGGGCTTAGTTGTTGAGTAGAGAGGTCTTAACCGCCAAGCGCAACAGAGGTGGAAGAGAACAACGACAATGCCGGCGAAGTTGAATTAAAGAGCGTTGCTATCTAGCGAGATTTCCAAAACCACTTATCCTGTCGTTAGAGCCGCATGCGGAAGACTTACGCTCTCAATCACAAACAGGCAAGCCCATTCTCCTGCCGCCAAAAAGATTACAACTCAAGCCCACTCGGAGCCCAATAGCCAATTCCCTCATAGCATCCCTACGAATATCGACCCTCGAAAGAGTCGATATGAGATCGTCATGATTTAGAAGCATCATGTACCTGCAGCCCGCGGCGTCATAAGTATCCTCGAAGCCCATCTGCTCCCGCAGAAACGGGACATGGTCCCAACCAAGCCCGTCGAGACACTTTTGACGGTCGCCCGCTGGTCGGTCGACCAGCCATATTTTGCTGTTTCCCCGGGTCCAGAACTCTAAACACCTATGCAGTATAGAAATCGGGCTATTCCACGGCTGGCTCCAGTGACCGTCCAAGAATACAATGTCGTGTTTCGGCCCGGTTCTCTGGAGACAACTCAGGGGAAACTCGATGGCGATGCTTCTAGGCATATTTGGCCATTGATCAGGCCAGAGTCGGATGAAAGATTCGAGGAAATCGGTACCGATCAGTGCCTTGGAGTTGATTGGAAGAAAAAAGAAACGGTCGCGGAACACGTAGAACTCGTCGCAAGCCGGGCTTGGCGAAGGCTTAAAGGCCATCAGTCCCGTGAGCTGATTATCCTATGATTCTTCTCTTCCCTCTCTCCTTGCGTCCTGTGCACGCTTCATGAGATGTTTGTGGTGCCGCTTGATGGCCGCCCGCGACTCTCGACAGACCGACGCGAGACATTTGGGCCGGGCGTACGTTGAAGGATTATTTGTGACCCATGATAGCGACGATGGGAGATGCTCCGGGCTAAGCAAAACAGGCAGGTAGAAGAGATTGTTAATTTTTCGTGACGCTGAACGTAGGCAGCTTCTCCGAATCTCGTTCGGGGCCTGCGAGGGAGCGTGGACCAAAAAGTAGTGCACGCCGTGGGCGTTGAATTCCTCAGCAAAGCTCAGCGTACGTGAAAGAATAGCAGCACGATTGGATAGCGAAGAGAATGGTATCTGTTTAATCAAAACTTCTCCATTCTGACACATTACTTGGTCCCTTGGGCTGTCTAAGCCAGCTAAGGTTGCGGCTTCAATTGTTATCAAGGTGCCATGAAAAACCTGAACTTACACACACTTGATAAACCAATGCGAAAACCCAAAGGGTTAATATTCTTAAAGTCGGTGAGGTTGTGGTATGTGCATCGTGTTCTATGTGGAAAGTTATTCCCCAAGGTGTTGCTTGATTCGAGCTTTTTTTTTCGTAGCTCGCGATGTCCACACTTTTTTCCGGTAACATAAAATTCTGGAATACGCGTTCCTGCATGGTTTCCAACATCACTTACCACAGACAATTTCTGCTCTAAATCCCTGAGAGACATTTCACTCTACCCTCTCAGCCTCCTCCAATATCCACTCTCATCATGTCGCACCGAGTCTACCCTTTCAACGAGCACTCTGCTCCGCCAAAATTCCCGCTCTTCGCATCTCTACCGCCAGAGCTACGAGGTCTGATCTGGGAAGCGGCTGCTTACTCCGATGCACCGGGGGTTCACTTTTTCTCAGTACACGACAAAGTAACGGAAGAGTTGGGCGTACACAGCTGTGCGAAGGGAGCCGACCATCACCTACTGCCACCATTCGCGGGTCCGAGAGGTGTTTTCCCGGCATCATGGATCTCGGGCAACCCTTCTACATATGCTTTCCATAGGACCCTTTATCTGACCTGCAAAGAGTCTCACAACGCTATACTCAGTCAGTGGGGGAGGATCCGGCGATCGCCCGGAGCGGGTGAAATCTCGCACTTTGAAGTACCCATATTCCCACTCCCGTATCCTATAGTTAGGAAGGCGTTCCGTCGCCATGTGTACAGGCTGGCGGAAAGCCAGTGGCTGATTGTGACACCCGAGGCGCGGAAACGCCAGATGCAAAGTCTTCGTGAATCGTAGGTTGCCCACATGCAGCCAGCAGATGAGACAAGAGAAAGCCTCGCTAACGCACTCTAGCCTACCAACCGAAATGTTCATGGTATTTCCTAAACGCGATCTGGTCGTTCTTCGGTTGAACACCGCCAGTTTCTTGTATGACGACCTGAATATTGCTCCGTTTGCACCCGGGACCCGCCATCTCCCCTTAAATCCAGCACTCTCTCATCGCGAACAAAACTACCCGAGCCATGTTGCCATTGAACTGGACTCGACTTGGGACGATTGGGTCTCACTCGTTAGCCGGCCTGAATTTGATTCAGTGCAGTGAAACAAGTGGGACAAGCTCATGAACTCCATTATGGAATGGCTATCTCGCGGTAGCAAAGTCTATTTCATCGACAGATACCTGCGCAGGAATACCACGATTATAAAACAGTGTGCCGGCGCAGGGTGTCGATGAATCGGGGAGATGTATTGATGAACATGGCTGCATTCGATATGAAGATGCACATGGGAATAGGTATATTGGGATCCCATTGAACGCCGAGAGGTCTCTCTGTTATGAATCTGGAGATCGCCCACGTTACAGGGGATTCGACTGGCACCGTTTTGTGTGGCCCAGTGCGAGGAGAATCAACGTTATGATCTGCGAGCCAAGTTTGAGTTAATCAATGTTGGGTAGATTTCTACGTAGTGCCCAATTGTAACTCACGTGGGAGTTGTTTCTTAATGCTCAAGAAACTTGGTAGTGAACTTGAACTTCGATATGAATTAGTAGCCTTCGTGCCGCCAGTATCATCAATGTCCTTATTGTCGTCATTGAGTGCAACCAAATTGGGCAGAATGATCTGCATTCGTGTATTCTTTCCATCACTTTCATATCAAAAGAACTCCGTATTATAAATCTTGGTGACAGAGAACAACCCATTGAGAAAGTCAACATTCAATGAGCACATAGTAATCAGAATGTCGAAGATCTAGCTAAGAAGTCGACGTTGTTTGGAGTGTGTATACCAATCTTATTTGCACATATCACATGAGAACGGAAGTATTCGGAACAGTATTTCCAGATTTACCTGGTTGAATGGTTGATAAGAGATCAAAAAGGATGCTTCCGCGAAAACTAACGAAGCCGTCGCACAGTTCGTATTAATTTCAGACGTCGAACGTCAACGCCGACTCAGCCGAGTCTTGGCTCAGTTCGTCCCATATTCAATGCGAAGGGTCCACAAATCCCGCTGAAAACCTATCACGGAGCACCCGGTAATTGCTGTCACTATGTTAAAGTTCGACCAATGGGAAAACTGGTGGGATCTGCTTTACTGAAGTGATCGTGCTCGTAATACGGGAAAGGGGTTCGTGATGTTCCCGCGAGTCAGGTATGAGAAATCAGTATGCCCTACAAAACTATGAAATCGTTGTGATTGCCTCCGTAGATTTGGGGCTTGGAGTCTCAAGTTTTGGGTGTTCGTCCCGTCTCTTTCGTTCGTTTCAAGCCCAGGATGAAGTCTCTCTTTGCGCAAGTCGCGACTGCGGCATGCGTTCCCTATCTGGTGGCCGCTTCTTACAAGGACGCATTTATCGTAGAATTTGATGGTCCTGCGCAATTGGTAAGAAATGCGTTAGAAAAGAGACAAACACGGTCTGACTTTTAACTAGAGTTCTGACATCCTGAACTCCGAAGTCCAGACTTCACTCGCCGCGTCTGGCCTAGACTGCACCGCCTCCAAACGGTATCAATTCACCCACTCCGTGTTCGAGGGAGCCTCCTTCGATCTCAGCTGCGAGAATGACAAAGTTACGCGAAAGTCTATTCTCAATGCTGTTAAGTCAATTCATGGTGTCAAAAAGGCTTGGCCGGTCACCAATATAGACCAAGGAAATCTCAGGGGCAACTATCCCGGTGGTGTGAATGGCAGAACAGTGAACCGCGAGTTCGCTTCTCATGTCAAACGAGATCTGCCTCAGCTCGAGAGAAGAGATAACGAAACAGCTAATATTCTCTCAACCCACATTGACACCGGTGTGGCCAAGCTTCACGCAGCAAACCTCACTGGCTCCGGGATACGAATTGCTGTTGTGGATAGTGGATTTGATGTCGACGTTCCCGGCCTTAGCAAAGTCGACATCGCATACTCCCACGATTTGACCGACAACGACAATGATGTCCGCGACAACTGCTCCTTCCACGGAACCCATGTTTTGGGTATCGTCGGTGCGAAGGGTGACGAAGGGCGATTTGGCGTTCTCGGAGTCGCGCCAGATGCTTCTTACGAGTTGTACCGGATCCAGCCGTGTGGTGGAAGCGGAGCGACAGACATGTTGATCAACGCTTTCTTTGAAGCTGCTAACCGAGGCGTCGATATCATCTCGTGCTCCTTTGGGGGCGGAGAAGCCTTTCCAGAAGGTAAGATAACCCGTTTTTGTCCACAAGTACTTCTCCACTGATGCTAAACTACGTAAGATCCCTGGTCTGCTGTTGCTACGCGGCTCTTCAAAAACGGAACATATGTCTCTCTTCCCAGCGGAAACGGCGGTCCGGGGGTGTTCTCCGGCGCCAGCCCAGCCATGGCTGATGCCGTCACATCCGTTGGATCGACTGACAACTCCGTGACGCCTTACCTGACGTGGCAGGGAAATTGGACCTCGGAAAATGATGGAGGAGACATTCGTTTTGTGCCAGGCCTGCCTTTCGATCTTCCCGCTGATACACAACTGACAGTCTGGTCCCCGAATCAGAACGTCGATGTGACGAACGACTGCCAGCCACTTCCGCAACCCACCAATCTACCTGCAGACATCTCCAACGTCGTCCTCCTCTCCTCGATCACTCAGTGCTGGAACGATGAGACGGGCGCTTCGGCTTCTCTCACGAAGGCTCTAGGTATCCCTTACGTTATCTACTACACGACTAAAAACTGGACCATTTCTGATGGGCCGGGATTCTTTGAGGACGGACTGGACCCTGGCTTGAAAGCTGTTGTTACCGTTGAGTACGAGACCGGTGTCAAGCTGTTAGATGCTTTACACAAAAGCTCAGGCGCGAAGGTGTACCTTGCCAACGAGGCCTCCAACGCAAACATCAGTCTCGACAACAGACCCAACAACCGGACCGGAAATCTCGCCTCAGTTTTCTCAAGCTGGGGCCCAACACTCACTGGAGGATCCATGCCTATCATCGTCGCTCCGGGAGGCAATCTGATCAGCACTTTCCCTGGAAAATACGGAGGCTATGGTGTTGTTGGCGGTACGGAACACATTCGTCTACTTTCTGAAGGACCAGCTAACAGATGATTACAGGCACGAGTCAAGCTGTGCCCTTCGAAGCTGGAGTGGCAGCCCTTGTGAAACAACGTCACCCTGAGTACACTGCAGAAGATATTCAGGCCGTCATCGCGACCACCGCTCGCCCGGTGAAGTGGAACGACGGAAAAGGCACCACGTCTGATTTTTTTGCCCCAGTCTTCCAACAGGGAGGCGGCCTCCTGGACGCCTGGAACGCGGTCCACTCTACGACTGTACTCAGCACATCTACTCTTTCGTTCAATGATACCGCCAATCGACCCGAAGACCTCAGCTTCAATATCAAGAATTCGGGTACCACGGCGCTCACCTATCATCTGAGTCACAGGGGCGCAGCCTCCGGTTACATCCTTAAGACCGCGAACAGCTACAACCTCACTGAGGGCGAAGCAATCCCTACATACGCCGATGTCAGCATCACTCCGTCAACTCTGAAAATCGAACCCGGTCAGTCCGCTTCTGTTTCAGTGGCTATCACAAAGGAACCCGAGCTTCCAGATGCCGCAACACGGGTTTCCTTCTTTGGGGGCTATATCGTGATCGAGGCAGAGGGTTCATCCGACGTAAATAACTTCACTCTTCCTTACACTGGCTTCGGTGCTCCACTCGCTACTCTTCCCATTATCAACAGGGACACCTCATACCTCATGGCCTATAACATGACTTCCTCGTCCCCGACACGCATTGGACCAGGCCGCACGTTCACCTGCTCTTTGGATCTCACCAAAGATGTGCCTGCCTCCTTCGCCGACAACATGTTTCCGGGAGTCTGGATTGATCCCCTTGTGCAAACTCGCAATATGAGCATCAGCATTGTCGACGCGGACTCTGGAAAGCAGCTGGCAAAGTCGTTTCAGTCCACATCAGATGATATTTGGGGCCCTGGCAACACGTGGTATTGGGATGGCTCAGATGACAACAAGGCGCCAATTCCCTCAGGCACTTACATCTGGCGGGTGAGGGCCCAGAGGTTGAATGCAAACCCGGACAAGGCTGAAAGCTGGGATATCTATGATACGGGAACATGGACACTGCGCTACGCTGGGAATAGCACAACCGCAACATCGGGAGCGCAGCGGTAGTAGGAACATGATCTTCAACTTCATAGGCAAATGAGTCAATTTTCTAGTAGACAGTGTATTTATCCAACTGGTAGCTCTGAAGGTTCTCTTACCACTCTCATTGACGCTATCAATGTTATCATGGTACTTGATGTTCTCAACACAAGACCGTTTTGAAAGTTACACGTTCGGAATAAGTGATGTAGACGAGTGTCTTCTTAAGCAGCTGGTATTCTTATAAAACACAAATCAGCACCTTCTTCTTACCCAAGGATCTTCGACAGCCGGGGCTTGAGATTGATACGGGACATCTGCCCAGGCAATTGAAGAGAACTGTTGAAATGGAGTTGGGGAGAGAGTATCTGGCCCGTATGAAAGGCTTTCAGGAGTCCATTGGCTGTCATTTGCCAAAGCAGCCGTGCTATCTGCGTTCCCGCCAATTAACGACCCTTGATACAGGGCTTGGGGAACACCGAATGTTCTTTCAGTCACAGGCCTCCACACATCGTCTTGAGGTGAAAGCGAACTTAAGGCTGTGGTATTTTCAAAGATTTGGTCGGTACCAGAAATTGGGAAAGAAGTAGACAAATCCGAAATGCCTGAAGGTTGCCCTAGGGCCATAGAAGAAGGTAGAGAACTTGGAGTCGTCGGAAGCAACTCGTCAAATGGTTGTTGCACTCTGCTTACAGAGCTCTGGTCTGCATGTCAAAGTCAGCCAATCGTAATCTGGTCTGAAGCCTGAGTCAACTTACTGCTTTGACTAGACCGGCCCCTTTTCTTTGGCGTTGTGTAAATGCAGTGGGTTGCGGAGGCCTGATCCGTGTAAGAACAGACATAAGCGACATCCGCCGCAGAAAGAGGAACACAAACAAGACACTTTTCACAGCTTGGTCTTCCCCCATCACCTACTAAATGGTCAGCACATTGAATGGAGCATTATCTAGGTGGGAAATCAACATTGTAAAGGAAACTTACACTTTTTTTTACGAACTTTGCAGGTCTCGCAAGCTCCTGGACGGCGTTTATATATGCGGCCTCCCGCTTCCCCTGAATTTGGCGCCATTGTGGAAGACATAGCCTCTCTGTACGTTCATGTGAAATAGTTTTGACAAGACATTCATACTAAGTCAGGTTTTTTGGATGGCGCATTCTGAGGGCCAAAGATGTCGTGATGTTAGATATTTGCTAAAAGCAATGCCGTCTTCTAGAAAGCCTGCGACCTACAAGCCGTCATAGCCGAGTCAAGTAAGCAAGTACCACTGACACCTGGATCGACTCTTCTGCCAGATCCATGTTCGAGGAGTGATGAGCGAGTGTTAGAAACTAGGTCTTGCCTGATATGCATAGTCACAAACCCATTACTGACCAGAACTATTATTGTTCCCGCTGAGACTAGAGTCAGATACGTCTTCCATGGGTAGGGTTTATGGATGGAGAAACCGCCAAGGAGGAAGTTTAATAGTTCTTTTTGGCTTCCAGTAAAACTCTGTCGACAACACGCAAAGGTGACTTCTACGAGCTGCGGCTTAGTAGGCAGAGTCTACTCCAGGACGGCCGGGGGTGCTAGGCTATCCGCTGGCCAAGCCAAGTACGTTACGCCCGCAGACCATGTCGTCTCGGAATGGACCCCACGATCCGAACAAAATTATCATGTTTAGAATGTTTGTTAATCGATCTAGAAGAAAACGCTGATTCTGAGATCGCTCACACAATCAGGTTTTGTTTCGGAGCACATACGCGGGCGCTAGTTCCCTAGGATAGCCCGGATGGTGCGAAGGTTCGAACGCCCTCCGGTTCTTAGAGTACATTTTGTATCAACAATTAGAGACCCAAAAGAATCAATTGTGTATCACGATATCTGATTCCAAAAAGTGTCAAGATTTTGTAAATATTCCAGTGCCCTGATTGAATCGGATCATCAGGCTTTGATTAGCACCTGTATTGAGTTCATGTTGCTTGGCCGCCCATTCCGGTGCATGGCTTCGAGGAACAACGGCTACTACTTGTTGGTTTGATGTTTCCTATTGCTGAACCCTCAGAATAGTGTGAAATCGAGGTCACACCCACGGCCGAGATCTGAGAGTATACCCACAAGGTCCCAGATTCGTCTGACTCCAGCCAGTCGTAGTGACTTATCTCCGGTGCTCGCGACCTGTCAGCTTTCCCGGCACATGCCTTACGCGTAAAACCGCTTTGTCCTTTCCGGGACAACATCGGACAGATTAGGCTTCTGCGATTGCTTCCTCATTAGAAATAAAGTCTCATCGTGGCCTGATTCCTTCTCGAACGGTTTTCGTCTGAACATTTCTCTAGTCCAAGACCATCACAGGCTGTCGGAAAAGGCATTGGTTCTGTTACTAGCAACCTTATCCGGGCCTATCGTAGCACTAGATCTCTCCAGGGGAAGTTTAATGATATGCCGGTGTTATAGGTCGGACTTGGAGCCCATGAGCCCCTGTTTTCAGTCCACTTTCTGGCCCGCGCGGAGCACGATCCCGCGGAGATCCGGTTCGGTCAGATCGTTGGGTCAGGTTTTGCAGTTGAAATTATGGAGCGTGATCGGTCACATTCCCTACCTATCTGGTTTGAACTATCTGGGAGGCGGCAAGTAGTAAGACATATCGAGTCCAGCATCAATCTCTTCAGCTTACCAACACGAGTGCCTCTTAGCAGAAGACGGTTTCAAAGCCAATGATATCGTACGTTTCTGGCAGATCACAGTTGATGACTGATTCAACTTGTTTGCGGCAACTCGTTAATGCAGCTTTCACCATGTCCTCATCCAGGCGCTTCCTCAGGACAAATTGAGCTCGCAACAACTGCAACAATTGATTTACAGATGGATACACGAACAATGACAGTGGGAGTACATTAGCTCACGTTTTCATTGGTCGAGAATGGGTTTTAATGATTGAGAATTCCCAAACCTATCATGGATGTCTTCCACGATGACGAGTTGTGCTCTTCACCGTGATAGCGCGGTCACAGTATCGGTTTCTGACTGGAGTGAATCGTATGATGGCTTTACCATTTGTAGTGATAGGAACAGCAGCTCTTGCAAATCCCTCTCGGAACAAATTCCGCAAGTTTTCCTGACCAGGCTCATAGGAGAAACGGGGGACTTATCCGACGTTTCGTAACCCCGCTGCGGGGTGGCTTCCCCTCATCATTACACATCGAAGTCGTGGGGGTCATTGACGAGACCTGGGGAGCAGGTGTGCACGTCTCAGCAAGTAGCAAGCAAGCTGTTGACTCGGCGCAATGAACTCCGATGGTCGGCTTCACCTTCACTATCCAACAAACCCCGCATAATCCGAACAGCTAGCTGTAAACTGAGGATTCCTTCAGCGAACCTTAAATTCTTGCTCAAAGATCCTTCATTAGCCTTCTTCCTGTTACTCTTAGAGTTAGGTTGAAGCTATCATGTCCGACTCACAGAAGCCCAAGACACTTTTCACCGTGTCAGGTAAAACAGCCATCATCACGGGGGCTGGATCAGGTATGTCGTATCGTTATTTTCGTCGTGAAGATATTGCCTAAACTAATGATGAGTGCAGGCATCAACTTTTCCTTTGCTGAGCTTCTCCTCAAGCGCGGTTGCAATGTGGTCATTGCTGACATCGCCTTGAGACCCGAAGCCAAGGATTTGGTCTCGCAACATCAAGGCCCCGGCAAGCCACGAGCTGTATTCGTTGAAACCGACGTAACCTCCTGGCCGGCCCTGTCTCGCACGTTTGGCGTTGCCATAACCGAATTTGGCGGTTTCGACATCATCTGCCCTGGAGCGGGCGTGTACGAGCCGCATTGGTCCAACTTTTGGCATCCTCCGGGATCAGCTGAGAGCAAAGACAGCGTGGATGGGGGCCACTACAAGCTTTTAGACATCAACATCAACCATCCCATCCGGACGACTCAGCTGGCGATTTCACACTGGCTGCATCCCAAGGAGAGCACCAACTCCGAGCTTCCTGCTGTCACGCAGGCTTCTCCGACCAACCCGAAGCGCATCGTCCACATCTCTTCGGTGGCGGGCCAAGTGCCGAACATCAACGCCCCGCTTTACTCCGCATCAAAATTCGCCATCACCGGCTTTGTGCGGAGTCTGGCTCGGCTGGAAGAGACCGATGGAATCCGCGTCAACGCGGTCGCTCCCGGCGTTGTTCGCACACCTCTCTGGACCGAGCATCCCGAGAAGCTCATCAACCTGGACGAGAGTCAAGACGGCTGGGTTACCCCCCAAGAAGTTGCAGAGGCGATGCTCCGATGTGCTGAGGACGATGGGGTTCCTGGAGGATCGATCTTGGAAGTTGGCAAGGACAACACACGTCTGGTGCAACCGTTCAATGATCCAGGCCCGGACAGAGACCCGAAGAGGGGACTCATCGCGAGAAACGTTTCCAACGGGACTGCCATGATCTTCAACTGGCTCAAGGATGCGAGCATGTGGGCCGTCGGTAGAGACTAGACTCGAGCATGGAAGCCTGATATCATTCTTCTCCGGACAGTCGGCTTTCTGTAATTCTTTCATATAGATGACAAGAAATGTGTGAAAAGCTCAGCTTCCTCGGAAGCCGACACTCCGGGTCGGCGCCAAGGTGGATGGATGATTGAGTCAATTTTTGAGCACGATTATCAGAGATAAGTCCCCGCAGGTCCTGGCGGCAATAGGTTGGAAATATGTCCCGACGCACTCCACAGATACCGACAGAACGGAGAACCCTGGCGGCCAACGGAATTGGCAATTGTAGCCGCAAAAATATGACGGTTCCGGTTAGGCATGTACTCAACTCCGATGTCCGGGCTCCACTTGGATTCCGGGCCGGGGTTCTTATCAGGTCCTTTCCCGAGGAAACTGGGCTAGTTATTCAATTTATCAGCTTGTCTATATGTTTGAAAGATAGAGGAGATAACAATATTCTTTTCATTCACTGCGATAATGTGACCATAGACACACCTTTAAATGAGAAACTATGATGTTTAGACACCGAATGCTGGGGGAGCTGTGCAGCTCTGCGTTTCGTGCCCGATTTCTCGGATTCTATCGTCTGATCACTCTCAGAAAATGCGGTATCTTCTGAGCTATCTCAGTCTAACTTGCAGCTTGCTTTCAATTGCAGGCTCGATACCAGTCAATGGAACCAAGCCAAGTCCAGAACTGCCATTCCCTTGTGCGTGATCCCGCTGTTTTCCGACAACCCTTCATCCACGGCATGAGTATTGATCATGACTTAGTTCCTCTCTGCAATGGAGTCGATATCGAGGATGCAACGATTGGAGATCTTCAGCGATTTTTGACATTGGGGAAGTTAACAAGTAAAGACTTGGTGACTTGCTACGTCGCTCGAATCGAGCAAACAAATTCGTAGGTTCTTCATGTTGAGGACAGCCAGAAACGTCCTCTTGATCAAAGTGCAGTCTCACTGACCAACGAACACCAGGCATCTCCGGTCTGTGAGCGAAATCAACCCAGACGCCATCACAATTGCCACGACCCTGGACGAGGAGAGAAGAACTCATGGCATCCGAGGCCCGATGCACGGAATCCCCTTCATGGTCAAAGACAACATCTACACCGACGACAAGCACAACACAAGCGAAGGCGGCCTTGTCTTGCTTGGCGGTAGATACTCTTCCGAGGCCACAATTGTGGCGAAGATTAGACAGGCGGGCGGCGTGCTACTCGGGCATGCAGCACTCTCCGAAGCAGCTGATCATCGCGCTCTGACCAACTTCTCTGATGGTTATTCAACCCGAGTTGGACAGACAAGAAACCCGTTTAATCTCACTCAGCCCACGTCCGGTAGCAGTGGCGGCTCCGCAGTTTCGGTCCGAAGCAACCAAGTCCCAGTTGCGTTGGGAACCGAGACTCATGGGTAAGATGCTCGACTTTAAACTATCATCCACGCTTTAAATGCTGAGATCACCAATTGCAGGTCGCTGGTACACCCGTCGGCACTTCTGGGACTGTACACGATCAAAACAACCCCTGGTCTGATTTCACGCCATGGCATCATCCCTGGCAGCTATTATCACGACACCCCTGGTCCAATGGCGCACTCGATGAAGGATGTTGCAATTTTGCTTGACATCATGGCAGGCCCGGACCGTTTCGACAACTTAACCTTCGATGCTCTTGGCCATTATCCGACAAACGGGTACTTTGCTGAGATTACCGATCAAAAGTCGCTGAAAGGAATGAAATTGGGAGTTCCTTGGAATCCTTACTGGTCTACAATTGGGGTATGCTGGTAGCATTTTCATCATGAGGCCAATGACTAACCCAAACAAAGGCTATCAACTCTCCGGGACAACGCGATGCCTATGAAAGTCGCCTGGCGGAGTTGAAGGCAGCTGGTGCGGAAATCTTCAACCTCACGGTGAGTATGCTCCCATTAGAACAAGGCTTGTTGTCTAAGGCGGAAGCTAGCACATCCCTCAAATCGAGACTGTGGCCAACAAGTATGGCTTTGGTCAACCGGCCGACATCCCAGAGGAACATGGCCAGCTGATCCCTTACAACACACTTCTCGCCGTTGCGTATGGCGAGTTTCTCCAGAACTTCAGCTTCCCCGAACACGACGAGCGCTATGGAATGAGTACCCTCGCCGAGATGGCCGCATGGAACGACGCTCATAACGATACTACGGGAGCCCTTGGGAACAGCACCTGGTGGTTCAATACCGTTTCGGGCCAAGACTTCTACGACAATGCCGTCGCAACCAACGGAACGATGGGTGATGAGTTCTGCAAAGCGTTTGGCTGGGGCCGAAAGACTGCACGGGAAGCGATCGACGGCGGGCATGCATACACGTTGAGCAACGGCACCGTCATCGAACTCGATGGCTTGCTCGTGCCAAACGACCCGTCTGGAGGTCACGACAACGCGTGCTCTTCGATCCCTTCTTATGCCGGGTACCCTGTTGCATCAGTACCCATCGGACAGAGTGGATATGGCGTCGCCTTCGGGATCTGCATCTATGGTCGACAATACTCTGAGGCACGCTTGGTCAGGGTGGCGTCGGCTATGGAGGACCTTTTTCGCTGGAACGCGAAGCCTGAGTTTCACAACTACGACACGGCAGAGGGACCATGGGACGCGCCTTGGCCTGGGTATGTTTGCTCAGAAACTTCACTTGACAGATATGCTTGCGAACTTTGATACAACTCCGTTCCTGCTGGCTTGTGAGGTTGGTCTCCTACATCCAGATAGCTAGTTGTGGCTTGATAACACCTTCGAGTCTTCCGCTCACCTGCAAAAGCCTCAGCGACGCTAGTTTTCATCTAATAGAGCGAAACCTTGTATATTGCTGGAATATGCACAATTACTTGGCCGACCACAGCGCGTAAACGCCACCCAACTTGAATCTGGAGGTTGCCGCTTCGCCTTCAACTAGGATGCACGAGGATAACAACCATGTCCCTTGTAGTGTTGACGTCAGAGCAATATATCTACAACATTGTTGCTGCCAAATCGTTGGTCCGAATGATTCAAAGCTGTCCTCTTAGAACTTTGCCGTGAGTTTCCATCCCACCGCCATGACTCTCACAGAGGCATAGCAGATGAAGGCCAGAACATATGATGCCCCGGAAAACATGATGAGGCCATTCCAATTTTGACCTCCCTTCGACGACTCCAAAATAGCTCCTGCAATTGGCAGACTGCTGAGCGTCCCGAAGCTCGCCATCATCATCGCTGTAGAAAAGTACCTGCCGTAGTCCCGAGCGTCACATAGCTGGCCGAGACACACTGGGACGAGTCCTAGGTTGCTCCCGCTGGCGAAACCGAAGAGAGCGACGAAAGCGAGAAGCATGGGTTGGGACTGACCCGAGGGTAACCACAAGCCAAAGACGGTGATGAAACAGAGTGCGATAGTGATGAGAATAATGTTGAAGCGTCCATACTTGTCAGCAGCAAGCCCGGGCAGGAAGCGCCCAACAGCCGAGCCGGCGTTGAGGATCGACAGAATGGTGTAGGAATGGACTGTGCTTCTTTGCATACTGGCGGCATAGGAGATGATGTAGGTGATGGGAACGAAGAGACCCCACTCCATGAAGAAGATGCCAACTGCCGACAAGGTAAACTTCAGGTTGCGAAAAACGGTAAAGTCCGGCCAAATTGATATGGGCCCATCCCTTTTGGGAAGTCGAGATCGAATGAACAAAGTTGCCGGGATGGTGAGCCCAAGTAAGATGAAGCCCAGTATTCTCGCGGTGGGAGCGAAGCCTAGTGTCGGGAAGAGATTCTGGAGGAGTATCGGGTACACGATTCCTCCGATTGAGCCAGCAGTGGCGGCAACACCGGTAGCAAATCCCCGGCGGCTGTCAAAAAAGTGTGCAATAGCTCCATATGAGGGAGAGTTGAGGAGAGCACCTCCAAGGCCACCAAGGATAGAGTAGGCGAGAAGAATCTGATAATACTCTGAAGATGCCACAATTAGCTGGGCTGTTGGTCTCAAGAGCAGATTCTGAGAACTAACCTTTGCACAGGCTCAGAAGCAAGAGACTCGCCGAGATGCAGAGGCCTCCAGCAACGACGAGTCCCCGAGGACCATAGTTGTCAAATAATGGGCCGACTTGAATACCGACGAAGAAGACGATGAAAAGGTAGAGACTGAAGATCCAGCCGATCTCTGAAGGGGAGTGGTCCGCAAGCTGGTTTTCGGAGAAGTAAGATTCAAAGACGGCGGCAGAGTTGATGAGGCCGAAGACGGACAGCATGGCACAAAACGAGCCAAAGACCACGAGCCAAGCCTTGAGACCACCTTCTGGGAAAGTCAGCTCGCCGACGCTTGACGTATCATGGCCTGCATGACTGCTTCTTCCTCTGTCTCTTGATCTTGATCTCTCCTCGTCGTATGATCTTGAATCTTCGTATCGTATGGCAGATGTTGTCGAAGAGCCGGGGACATTGATATTCCGTAAAAGTACTGAAGATGTCTCAACCGTTGTCTTCGACATGCTAGTCGCAGAGCTTATCAGATGCTGTATATGTCTATCGTATTTTCTAATGTTAGGGATGGACAACCTACATGGATGACTAGTCGTAGGACTTCGATGAAGACAAAGTTTTGGTTGGTAGCTTGACAAGTAATTGTTGTTTGAACTTGCTAGTCCAGTCGAGTAAGGTCCACGATGAAAGAGATGTAAGTGTGAAAAAGCATAATCCGGCCAACTCCGATTTTGAGAAAGTCCCAGGATCCACTGGCACGTGCCGGCCACCAATGTCTTCTCGAGAGGTTAAACACTTACGTTAAATCGCCAATGGTAATTGGGTAATAGTTCCGCTTAATATTTACCCGTTCCAGCCTACTTGATATGGCTAGTCGTTCCGGCATGGAAGCCAAGGAGGCACCATGCAAATGAGAGACTAGCCGCGATCCGTCCAATCATAGAATTGGCTTGGGAGGAGGACCCATGTCGTTCTCTGAGATGCCACAGTCATCCGAGTTGAGTCCTCTTGAAACATTGAGGATTCTCAGCGGAACTGTCTAATGCTTTCACAAGAGTACGCGCAGTTCAATGTTGTATTGTGCGGCCTGTTATCCGGTAAAAAATGCTGCTGGTCATAGTTATTCAAGAGGAAAGTATGGCGCCGGTTTTGAAATTAGAGAGCCCGGGTTATTGTAAAGTCTCCACACCGCCGCCGGGCGTCTGCCGCACTGGATGGAGTACCACCCGCCGTCTTATTCCGCCGTATTATTCCGCCCGTCTTTTTCCAACGATAATCATTGCGTTCTCATAGGTCAGCTGGTTTCATATAAGCCACTTGTATTGTGTCCATATGTCGGAAGTCCGAATTTTCATAGACATCGAGTCTTGCGAGGAGAAAGAAGGGCGAGTCACGCCAAAACCCACGAGCTTTGTATTTACCAGCTTAGCCGCCCGGCCCATGTTCAACATCGTCTCAACCGGGGCACGGCACCCCATGTCGAAGCGAATTTGCATTCTGCAATAATCTTCTTGCAGATAAGACCCTTCATGTTGTAATATGGTGTTTTCTTGTTTCTTTTTGTGGCGTCGAGCTAGTTATCAAATCTCAAGAAGAAATCAGCCGCGTCGCATTCGTAGTAACAGAAAAAGTGTGGACATCGCGAGCTACGAAGAAAAAGAAATCCGTATCAAGCAACACCTTGGGGAATAACTTAGTAACATTCAGTTCAAAATTGAATATTGTGATTTGAATACAGGGGTTTTCTTTCTTTCTGTTCTTTTTTTCTTCTTTTTTTCTAATTCAGATGTTTATCGTGATTTTGACGACTTGTTACCTTGGTTGCCGTTCTCTATTTTTATTTTACCTCTATATTTGTTGCTCATGTTGTAGTTGGAGCTGTACTGCGTTGAACTGCTATTAAACTCAGGCGACGAGTGTCGGTCCGCGCGCCACTGTGCGCGCCTGCCAGGATCCGGCCGGGCCGGCGCCGAGTGACGCCGACCTCCGATGTGATTACCAACTCGTCTACTAGCCTATACGATCCTTCTGGTCTCTTCAACAAGACTGCATCGCCCATACGCTTTAATACGGCGAAATAAACCCTATTCTGGGTCCAATAGTCCTATGGCGCTATGTTTGACTATTGTGAAATCACTGACGAGATCCGAGTTTGACCGTGTGTATATAATCATGATTCGTCCACTATTCTAATAAATTTAAACACTACGTCTTGTCCCTTGTAAGTAGGTGACTACAAAGTTTAGTCGTTGCAAAGATTTAGTCAGTTCAACAGAGTTGGTAGTACATTTAAGAAACCCGAAGGCATTTTGAGTTCCCTGTGTTGTCCTCCCGTCACTCCGGCACAACAAGATGTGGTGATAACGGTACTTGTCCTTTCCGATGATCAGTAGCTAGCCAGAACGAATTTTATCCTCAATGGTATGATCCGGTACTAAATGCTAAACTGCACGGCACATATCTGACGTAAGGTGTTGAATACAGAGGATAGTCCTCCTAAATGACATCTAGATATGGTGATATCAGTGGCTTCTCTGGAATATCATCTTTCGATCTCGTTTTCAAACCTCTCGCCCGTCTTACTCATCAACAATTATCTCGTCATGCTTGCCAGTGCCCCTGAGCAGCCGTGGAGGAGGTTCCCAGAAGTAGCACGAGTCAGCCACAGATCCCCTGCCAGTATTGACACTCTGATAGAGAGTTTAAAGAACTCATGATCTTGAAGAAGCCGATGACCCGATAGGAACTTTGACAAAGACTAAAATCTCACGTAAACTCCAAAACGTATCATTCATGGCGGCGGTCTGGCATCGTCTATCCACTCAGTGGACCCTGAAAGGCTCGAAGGGTCCGAGACACACTTTGGGCCCTGTCTTATCCACTACACTTTTCCACAACTAGGTGGAGAAACTTATTTGCAACGATACCAAAGATCCAAACGGATACGAGGCACTGTAGAGAGTAAGACTTCATCTTACTTATAGGCGAAATGTTCAGGATATATAAACAACTGTTTTTCTGCCTTTCTCGACTAACATCTCATCCTTCTCATTCACCTCAAGTCCATCACACAACAAGCTCCTCATCTTCTCACCTGATAACGTCCACTTATCAAGCTACTCAACTCAAGACGCCAAAGTCTCCCATTTATCGAGCTCTTCAACTCAAGAAGCCAAAGACTCCCATTCATCAGACTCCTCAACTCAAGACGCCAAAGACTCCAGCATCACAATGCATTTCACCACCACAGTTGGCTTGATCTTCGCGGCCATGACGCCTTTGAGCTCCGCGGCCGTTTGCGAGAACTTCGGAAATACGGCCATCCCTATTTGGCAGGTGCAGGCCAGCGGCGTTGACGACATCCCCGGAAAGTGTGGCGGCCTATGGGACAACCTGAACGGCTTTGGCGGCTGCGGCAAGAGCGCTACCTCTTGCGGCGGCTCTAATGGGAACCTGGTCTGGCGCTTCACTGGCAGCGCCGGCTGCAACGCTGGTGTGGTCGAGTCGACCTGGTACAGTGCAACTAAGAACAAGTTTGGGTCCATCAACTGTTAGGTAATATGACCTGTATGGACGTCGGGCGGCTTGGACAAGGGATTTGGAAGATCACATGGGGGTTCAAATATTGGAACGGGCGGCGATAACATGATGGCCTAAGATTGGGTCGTGTTTCGTTTTATATACATCCAGAGAAGCAAGCCTCATACAAAGCGCTGGCCTTGAAGAGACGTAATCAACTTGTCGATCCCAAAACCTTTCTGCCTTTGCGTATGGTGAGAGCCTCAAATATGCTCTGCGGTCGTTTACTTTCATTAACGCCAAAGCTGAGTGGCTTGCGGTCATGAGAAGACTGCATTTGTGCTCTTCTTAACATCGGCTTCCAGCTTCAAAAACAAATCTAATTGGTTGGGAGACAATTAAGCACCTGGGGCATGCATGCCAGTGGCGCAGCTCATAGCGAACTACGCACGGGGGCTTACCGATGAACGCCAGACGCATAACTTCATTTTCACTGTTTTCCGTAGTCATGTCATGAGTACAGGCCGGAAAAAAAGAGTAAATGCCGGCAGACCTGCCGTTTCGGAGTACCATTCGTGTAAACACTGGATTTGGCTAACAGATATGCCAGAAAAGTACCGTCAGGGGCACTTCTGGCCTATTTTCCAGCGCCCTCAACCGTCACTGAAAGAATTGCCAATGCATCTCAACTTGACCGCTTGCCCAGGCGCAGCTTATCGGACGCGGCGTGCCTCCGTCCGTCGACCGCATTTCGTGCCCCACCATGGTCGGGGCCGGCTCCGGCGTTCGTGCCCGAGTTCCGCCACCGGACTTGAACGGAAGTTAGTGGAGTCGAGCGATTTCGGCGCGACCGAAGAAACAATTCATGAGCCAATCTTTGCTGGGACCATTTGTGCATGAAATTGGTTCACAATGCGCTGCAAAGTGGCCAAGAATGTGCAGCTACTTTCCGGACTCGGGCTCGGAGCTGTGCCGAACCGAACCGAGCGGACCGGGGTCCGGGTCCAGTGGATTGATTGCATGGAATTTTCCAACGAGCAACAATTGCAAAATCGCATCATCGCCTGATTTCCGTTGTGCTTGAGGGGCTCTACATCTTGGTTGAGAAAACTGCTATCCTACGCGCGCCCAGATAGCAGCGTTTCGTGTGCCCTCGTCCCGATCTCGAGGCAACAACACCCCACGAGCGTAACAATGGGCGACACCACAAGCACACCGGAGAAACAAACCCCAGAAACACCCCAAGCAACCACGACAGAAACGCCTCGCGATGTCGACGCGCCCCTCTCAAACCTGGACGCAGTCCAAACAAACGCCTCCTACATTCCCCCGACCCTCTCGCCATGGCGCCGGCGCGCAGTCATGTTCGCCCTCTGCATGACCCTCCTCCTCTCCGCCCTCGACATCACAATCATCGCCACGGCCCTCCCGACAATTGCCTCGACCCTCCACGCCTCGGCGGCTCAGTACGCGTGGGTCGGCAGCTCCTACACGCTCTCCAGCACGGCCTCGACCCCGGTGTGGGCCAAGATGTCCGACATCTTCGGGCGTAAGGGGACCATCATGGCTGCCGCAGCGACGTTCATGGCGGGCAGTCTCGTAGCGGCGCTCGCGGGGTCCATCTCAGTGCTGATCGCGGGGAGGACTATCCAAGGCTTGGGCGGGGGCGGCTCTCTGGTGCTTGTCACGATTGTGATCGGGGACTTGTTTAAGTTGGAGGAGAGAGCGAAGTATTACGGCATGACTGGCATCGTATACGGCATTGCAAGCGCGGTTGGACCGATTCTCGGTGGTGTCTTTACGCAGACTATCGGATGGAGATGGTGCTGTGAGTTTTCGGCTTCCGTCCTCGTCTCCATTTACTCCGGCTAACAGGACCAAAGTTTACATCAACCTCCCCTTCGACGGCATTGCACTCATCGTCCTCTTCCTTGTCCTCAAAGTCGAAACCCCCAAAGAACCCTTCCTAGTCGGCCTCCGCGCGCTCGACTGGACCGGCTTCGCCCTCATCATCGGCGGCACAATCTGCTTCCTCTACGGCCTCGAGGCCGGCGCAGGCGGCATCCAATCATGGAAATCTGCGCAGGTAATCTGCCTCATCGTCTTCGGCGTCGTCATCCTCGCCCTATTCATGCTCTGGGAAGCCCGCTTCGCCACGAACCCCATCATCCCCTTCCGCATCTTCCAAAAGACCACAAACGTCGCCTCCTTCGTCCTCGCCTGCATCCACAGCTTCGTCTTCATCTCGTACGACTACTTCATCCCGCTCTACTTCCAGGTCGTCCTCGGTTTCCGTCCCATCATCGCCGGCATCTCGCTCTTCCCGCTGCTGATCCCGTTGACGGTCACGACGATGCTCGGTGGACTCTACACGCGGCGGACGGGGAACTACATCATCCCCATCTTCTTTGGCTCGGCGCTCATGACGCTCGGAAACGGCTTTTTCATCACCTTTGACACGAACACGAACTGGGCCAAAATAGTCGTCTTCCAAATGATCACAGGTTTCGGCGCCGGTGTCCTCTTCCAAAGCCCTATGATATCTATTCAAACTCATACACACCAGAAGGACATGGCCGCCGCGATGTCTGCCTTTTCCTTCTTCAGATCGCTCTTCTCGTCCATGTCGATCGTGATCGGGACGGTTTTGCTGCAGCGAAATCTTGGTGGGGGAGGACTGACATCTGGGCAACTTCATTCAGGAGGAGAATCCGCAGACACGAAAGACTCGGTAAAGCAAGAGTACGTCTCTGCGCTGCATATCATGTGGGCTTTCTTCACCGGTGTCTCTGGCTGTATGATTATATCCGCGTTGTTCATCAAGCCGAAGCCGAAGAAAGAATCCCAGGGATCATCAGGTCCATAGTCTTTAAGTTATTAGAGCTATCTCGCAAGAACCAAAGAAAGAGAGATTTTATACGAAGAAATTTAATCTCACACAAACACTACCAGGTCACTGTCACGAGCTACATGTAGAAGTTGGCTCAATTGATGGAAGTCCTTTCGCGAGTTGTCAACATAGTTTGCACGTTCTCTCATTCGCTGATACCTTCTCTCCGTCGCTTCTCTGGTCTACCATTTCTCGGCGTCCTCTTTGTTCTTCTCCTAATTACCATCTTAATGCACTCAGCGATCGCTTTAGCAATAGGAGGTGGCTGAGAGACCATGACATCTCTATACTGCGTCTCGATTGATCCGTAGAACACGAAATCATTGTTGAAACCTTGAAGCCTGGCGTGCTCTCTTACAGTGAGCCTGTCTCCGCGTACTGCACTTAATGTCAGCTGCTAGCTTTCCGCAGCTGAGGTACCGCAGCTGAGGGGTCCTCCATACCGGAATGAACTAAACTCCAGGGGCTGCTACCAGAAACGTCCAGACCGTCCGCGTCCATTAGAAAATTCAGCGCTCGCGCGGTAGGAACCTTGAGACCGGTTTGGTGATTATAGATAGTGTATAATAAGGGTAGGGTGTATAATACCTATACTATAGCTACCTATAGGTACCTAATAGTTTAGTTTAAGTGAGACAGAGAAACTAGAAAATAGTTTTTTAAATACTAATTAAAATAGATTAAAGTTATAAAACCTATAGTATTATAAAATATTTATATCTATAGATATTTTTAGTTATTTTTAAAATAAAATAAAATAAAAGATATAGAAATGAAAAATTAAAAGCTTATTAACTTAAGGTTTATAAATAAGAGAAAAGTAATAAAGTTATTATATATAAATTATTATTAAGGATATTATATACTTATTAAGTTATAAATTTAGCCTTTTTATATATATTTCTATATCTTAATTTCTATTTATTTCTTTATTAAAATATAATTATTTTTATTAATAATAGAGATATATCTCTTTTTAATATAAAGCGTTTTTATATTTTAATTTTAAAATTAATAATATACTTATTAATAAGAGAAGGGAGATTCTAAATACTAATAGGGGTATTACTATTAAGAGAGCTTAATATAAATTAAAACTATTTATCTTTAAGAGAAAGAAAATAGAACGCTTTAAACTAAATATTAAGGATAACTAATAGAGTAATAGCTTTTTATTAATAATAAAAATAATACTTAAGAGGGAGGCTAAAGAATAAGTAATTTAAAAAAATAATTAATATAAAAGATTACTTTAAAAAATAAGGAATTAAAAAATATTTACTTTTTTTATATTATAAAGAATTTAAATTATTTAATATAGTTATAATCTTCTTTATTAGCTATAGGTCTTTTAAAAGAACTATCTATTAACTATAATAAATAGCTTTTAGGTTACATACTAGAAAATTATTAGAAAATACTAAATAAATAAAAGTAGAAATATATTAGAGAGAATAAATATAAAGAGCTATTTAGCTAATTCCTAAAGGGCTTTAAGAGCTAATTTCTAGATTTATAGATTTAATGCCTTTCTATTAAGAAAGGTTCCCTTACTATATAAGGGGAGAAAAGTATAAGGGTAGAAATTATATATAGATAAATTACCGCTTTTAGACGGATTTAAGCAATCTAATTAGTAGAAAAGAACCTCTAAAATAATTGGCTGGAAGTAACGCGCGCCCCACTTTAGCCTATATTAGGCTAGTGCGGCTGGTGCCGGCTAGCGCGGGCTAGCGCGGGCTGGCGTGGGCTGGCGTGGGCTGGCGTGGGCTAGCGTGGGCTGGCGTGGGCTGGCGTGGGCTGGCGTGGGCTAGCGTGGGCTGGCGCGGGCTAGCGTGGGCTGGCGCGGGCTGGCGTGGGCTAGCGCGGGCTGGCGTAGGCTAGTATAGGCTAGCGTAGGCTAGTATAGGCTAGTATAAGCTAGTATAAACTAGTATAAGCTAG